CTCCCTGCTCGGCGGGGAGCCTGCTTCTCCCTCTGACCCTCCCCCATCTCGTGCTCTCTCTCTCTCTGTCTCATTCTCTCTCTCAAATAAATAAAATCTTTAAAAAAAAAAAAAAAGTATTCCTACGACAAGTATCTAAGGTAGAAGATAAATAAACATATCTCAAATTCATTGGAATCAATTAATAAAGCCTTATTTTGTAAGGTTACATTTGAGACTTTAAAATAAAATTTAAAATAAGAATTTACTAAAATGCAAATTGTACTTTATCCTAGACAGTCCTTTTCAGAAGTTATTGATCTATGTATATTTGCTGTTACATAGATTAACTGTGATGTTACAAACCACAACCTGGTGAAGAACGGAGGATGTACCTCCACATTGTACTGGCTGTGTAATCTGGGCAAGTTATTGAACCGGTCTGTGCATCAGTTTCACTCTATCAACCGAAGATGGTCAGAGGGTCTCCTCTCCTAAAGCTCGGCAGGGGATATTCAGTAGCTAAGCTGTGGCTGGCACACAGCGGCACCCAGCAAGGCTCCCCTGAGGGCACGTGACCAGAATTCAAGCACAGCAGGCTCAATGCAATACACAGGCCATGACTCCTCTTGAACACATACGAAGTTACATTTGGACTTTCATTTGTAAAATTTGTAAAAAAAAAAGTAAAAATGTAAAAAATCTGGGCTCTCAAATAGCACAATTTACATCCAGAGCAAAGTTTCATGGAGGAAAAAACCCACCATATTTATAGTATACATAGATGAATACCTATGTAACTGAAAAGCGGATCTACAGTTTTCCAGAAATAGAAAACAAGGTAAAAAATATTCAGGATTTTAAAGGGAACCTAACAGAAAGAAACCAAATGATAATTGTTATTTTTCAGTCCATTTGAAATTGTAGCCTGTTTCCTGAAAGAGAAAGCAGAACAAGGGTAACAAATGTTATAGGATTAGAACTACTGAGTTTGAGGGCTAATAGAGAATAGGGAGATAATCAAATTCAACTTTTGTTTCATAGATGAATAAACTAAAACTCAAAGAAGTTAAAGTGTCATATTCAAGGCCACAAAGGTAGTTTGTGAAAGAGCCACGAACATTTTTAAGTAACCAGTTCCCTCTTCTCTGTCCCAAGTGAGCATGGGTTATAGCCTACAAAGTAGCAAAAAGGTTGATGGTAGTAATTAGTGGGATAACAAATAAAGGAAGTCTAACGATAATACCCCAAACATCCTAATATTCATTATGATGAAAGCTTTTCTGGCATCAAGAGAAAGGTTCATTACTCCAGGATGCAGAATATACGATACTGGAAGTGGGGGAAAAAAACCACTTTTGCAGCTCACCTACACAGAAACCCTTACAGTTTATATAAAAGGTCCCCACTCTCATCACACTGACTTGAGCTCCATTATCTATTATTACCACTTAAAATAGTCAAGGCTCAAGGGTTTTCATAGACCTAAGCCTGAATTCTTCAAAATACTACCTATTTGCTTAGTGTTCCCTTTGTAATATGGAGAGATGGGGCGGGGGGTAGGTGTTAGTGAAAAATATACATAAAACTTTATTTTTACCCTGATTTAAGACTTCTGTTGACAAATACTCAAGTAGGAGGCCCACTAAGTGACGGTATATGCAACTATAAATGTTTTACTTTATTAGCTTGAAGCAATGTATTTTTATGCTAGTAACTCCACTCTATACATTTTTAAGATGGTACTTTAAGCTCCATATTTAGGACTGGAGAAGACATTTGCCCCGCATTCCACAACCTTGGCTACAGGACTGGAGAATTACCTCAATAATTATCGTAGCCATAGAAAAATATTAAGCATATTTATACTGTTTACCAAACCTAAATACTACAAAGTAATTCTAACTCCTGTAAGAAATCTAGTATTTGATAACTGTAACCAAAAAGAAGGAATTTATATAACCTGTAAAACGCTTAAAATTTAGTTATTTTTTCAAATGAGAAATAAATGCCAGATCTGCACACTAATCCAGAGCTCTATTCCACCTTCAGGCCAGACAATGGTTTCTGTGTTCAACTCTGCCTCTAGCTATTATCTGCTGGCTAAGTGCCATAATAAGAATGGTAATACACACCATACACCATGAAAATTCAAGACCAGTACTAGAAGTAAAAAATGTATCAATGACACAGAAGCACTATCAGATTAAAGTTATTTGACAACACTGTCCAATGGTGGATGAAAATCACCAATTGGGAAACAAAATATTCCATAAGTTAATACCAGATTCCTCAGTGAGTCACAATTTCCTATTATCTTTTGCTCAAATATCATCTTATCGAAGTAGAGCTTTACGTGTTTTGAGATCAATGATTTTAAATCCAGTTTTACATGTTTAAGCTCATTATTTCTCTCATTAGTACTTCCAGGAAAAAAAAAAAACTCTACACATTTAACAAGATTTCAAATGTTTTCAATTTAACAATTCATTTATTTGTACTGGTCCTTAGTAGTCAATCTTCATATCCGCATTTTTATTTCATCAACAATCATCTCAGATACACCTTCTAACAAGACTGACTTAAAATATTACGACAGGAAACTATGCCTTCAGGAGCATGTTTATTGTGTTTGAGATGATACATCAGGTGCTCTCTGAGCTACAAAGGGTAAAAGGAAATCCTCTCATTACAAACTGACAAAGGTAAAAGGTAAAACATTTTTCACAACAGCATGAACCACATACTCAGAAATAGATCTGGGTTTAATACAAATGACATAATTCCTAGTCATCTACGGCTACTTTTATAACTTCATACAGATAATGAATTAGGCTAAAATGCACTATAATATTTGGTAGACTTCAGGACCAGTATCCTTAGTACATCACAAAATACATTTTGATATCCCAAAGAAGCAAGACTTGCAAGTAGGCGTTTTAAACATAACTAATCTACAGCTACAAAGTTCTACTCTTGATAGCATTTACCTTTTTGGGGAGTCTCCCAGTCTCCAAAGGATAAAAGCAGAGAGTAGAATCAGTATAACATATACACAGAAGTCCGTATTGTAAAGGCTATAAAGATTTGCAGCACAGTGGGAAGGGGCCTTCTGCTCCTTCACACCGCATACAAATTCTGTGAATTATGTGGCGTATCTCTTGGTCCACTGTCTGGCTATCCTGTCATGTTCTGCTCTGTTGGTCAAATACTGAGTGGCTATGCTTCCAACCAGAGGATCCGCTGGAAAAGTAGAAAGAACATTAAGAGATATTATACAGTGTCTTAAAGTTACAGTTTTAATAGTCTATTAAATTGAAACATTAATTTTTCAGCAGCACCTTGGTATATAATGGCTAAATTTTCAAGATTAAAATGCTTCAAATAACAATCATCTGTGTATTTTAATACTGAAATTAGAAAAGCCCTTTAAACTAAAAAATACAAGTTGACTTAATAAATTTGATTTTTTAATACTACTCTTGGCATTTTATTCAGCAATGGAAGTGTGCTTGGTGATTATAGTTCTACCTTCTGTTTAAAAATGTGATTTTTAAAATAAAAACTCAAATCTTACAATACAGTTTACAGCATTTCGGTGTAGATATTATGCACATTCACAAGCATTTAAAATATTATTATACATATGTACTTTCCTTCAGTGCCTTCCTCTTTCACTTAATGTATCTTGGAGAGCTTTCCCTATCAGTTCATTTAGAGCTGCCTCACCCTTTTTAATTCTCTTGGGCATAGGTATAACTGCTGGGTTTATGATAAAAGTAAAAGCCTTTGGTGATTAGTCCAATATATAGAAAAAGTAATTCAACTTCTTTAAAAAATGACCACTTGTAAGATAACATATGCAAAATCCCAGGTCTAAACGTCACTTTTTCAAGTCAACTACACATGTTAATATGTAGCAAATTAAGCATTTCTTACAAATGTTAGGAACTATGTTATTAATGGCTTTATCTCTGAGTTAATATAATCTAGTCCAACTCATAAACTATCACTTTAATATCCGCTACCACTACTTCTAAAATACCTAACTATAATCCAAGAAAGAAGGGAGAATTAGAAGCCCTTAGTTACTAAGTGGTTGCTGTAGAGCACAAGGCAGCATGGAAGGAGTAAGAAAAGGAGGCACTGGGGCCAGTCAGGGCTTTCTTCCCGTCAAACATGGTTTGTACAGCTACAGAATTTAGAAGAAAGTCCATCAATGACAGAAAGAAAGTAATTATAGGTAGCATGCCATTAATAAACTAAAGAAAGTTACTGTGAAACTTCTGGTCTATTCTAAATGAAATGGCTTTGATAATTTCCTTGCAAAATGATTTATGCTCATCTTTCCACCAACAGCATTTACTTTCTCAAATCCATAGTTAAGGCAGCCAAAACACACCGATTTCTGTAGCCCCACTGTGTGTGTTAATAAAGGTTTGCTTACCAGGGTTGCAATCTGTCAAAAGAGAACAAATCGACAGCAAAACCTTTGAAATAGTCAAAGCAGGACTCCAGTTGTCTTTAAGGATGTCCAGACAGATGACTCCCTGACTGTTGATGTTGCAGTGATAGATTCTGGTGCGGAAAGTAACCTAAGGGCAGTTCCATTAAAAACAAAGAAAATGAATGCTTTATTACCCACTAAAACTCTCACCAGCAAAAGTAAAGGGTAATATATCATAGATACTAAATAGAAAATAATTTACTGAAGAGCTAATTAAATACCAGGTTTAAGTAATATCAAAAGTAAATGATTTTAACTGGGGTGCCTGGGTTAAGCATCCGACTCGATCTCAGCTCAGGGTAGTGAGTTCAAGCCCCACACTGAGCATGGAGCCTACTTGAAAAAAAAAAAAAAAAGTAAATGGTTTTATTCAATTCAGTTGAAATTTTTTTACCCTGCAGACTAGGAACTATATCAATTTTACACCAAAGTGAGCAGCTGATTTGGTTGGCTTACTCTAAATGAATGATACAATAATTCTATGTATGCATGACCATATATACCATATATACGCACACACACGTGCACATACAGCTCTGTATAAAGCATGTGAGAGAGAACAGAAGTGTTTTAGTGCCAAAGGTAAGAAGAAACTTGTGAAGAATTTTTCTTACCATAAAAAACAAAAGTTACATTAGCTTCTTAGTAGAAAAGATTAGTATCAACTCAGCTAATGTCCTGTCATGTATCAGAAAATATTGGCAAGGATTTAGAGGAAGGTTGATGAAATCACCAGTCTATTTTTCAGCCTTTCATTTCTGTAACTGGTTCAGTATCTTGTTAGACTAACACAGTAAAATGAAATAAGCAAGGTCTTAAGGTAATGAATAAAGGAAACTAATATATCTCTGAGATATATGAAAAAAGAGGATAAATCATAGGAACAAATACTGGCAAATTCCAAAACAATCACAAATAAACTGGGTGGCTAACTCTTATTTTGGAATAGCAGAGAAAAAAAGAAAAAAACAGTTCCCAATCTCCTGGAACTAGCATTGTACTATATGATCTCCCAGGTAGAGTCTAAAAAGAAAATATTAAAAGCCCTCAAACGCATATTTCTGATTAATGATGCATAATTAAAAACAAGAAAGAAACCAGTGGTCTAGTAGCGGAGGAAAAAGGAAGAGACTGTACCTCCAGAACTTCTGTGTAATACAGTAGACATACTAGCTTTACAGCTCTTAAAATACGGTTAGTCGTAGTGAGATCGGCTAAAAATGTACAATACAGACGACATTTCAAAGACACAGTACCAAAAAGAGAATGTAAAACATCACATTAATAATACTCTTACATTGATTTCATGTTCAAATGACAATATTTTGGAGGTACTGGTATTAAAAGTAATTTCACTGTCTTTTTCTACCCTTTTTAATGTAGCTCATAGAAAATTTAAAATTACACATGTAGCTTGCATTAGATTTCTGTCAGACACTTCTGCTCTAGAATATGGGAATAATGTATGTTTAGATCACTGACAGCTGACTACTCAACAGACATGCATGGTTTATAAACACAATTAATAATCTGAATCCTTTTGGGGCGCCTGGGTGGCTCAGTAGGTTAAGCATCTCCTTCAGCTCAGATCATGATCCCAGGGTCCTGGGATCGAGCCCCGCATGGGGCTCCCTGCTCCACTGGGAGTCTGCTTCTCCCTCTCCCTCGCTCACTCTTGGCACATGCGTGCGCTCTCTAATAAATAAATTTTTAAAAATCTTAAAAAAATACTTTAAATCCTTTCAGCTATTAATAATTGGTGAACAGAAGAGAATTAAATTTTTATTATTCCTCAAGAAGTTCAACACCTTTTCCAAACTTCAAAAATAAGCAGAATTGTATAGAAATAATTGTACCTAACACCAAGATAAGAGCAGAAGTATTCTTTCTTTTTCACTTGTTCAACCACAGATCTAGATAGTGCTTCATAATACTGTGTCAGATATCTTAGGCAAGAGAAATGATTCAACATGGAATGATTAGAAAATTAAAATACTGAGACTTCGGCAAAAAAATTAAATCCTAAATTAAAACATAACCACTGTACTAACCAAAACAACTAATAAGTCATATACAGAACTATAGTTTGAAAGATTTATGTTAGTCAATTTCTATTTTACATTAAAAGATGCCAAGGAAAACAGAAAAGTCTTAACAAATCTTCCCTCACAAAATAATTTTGTAAAAAAAATAAATGTTGCAAACTTTTTTCTAATTTTGCTACCACATTAAAACCAATTTCAAGAAAAATGAGGCATCTAGAAATAAGTATCACTATTTATCAAAGACAGCCATGAACTATTTTGCTATGATTTTGTTTTCTGCAATAAAGGAAACTTCACCAGTGAATGCAAATTGAGCAGTTAGTGATAGACCAGCACTGTTAACATGTGTCATTTTGAATGTGAATACAGTATGTAGTATTATTAACATGAGGGCTTTGTTCCTTTATTTGAACTAGCAAGATATATACTCTACATACGTGAAAGCATTCAATAAGACAATCATTTAAAGATCTTAAATTCTGATGGGATCACTTAGTATAGTACTAAAAACACTGACAACTCTAGCTGACGGCAAAATACCTCTAGATGATAGGGAACCTTGGTGTACGTACTTTGAGGTAGATACCACTAGGTGGAACTGTTATCTTATTAGATAATGGGAGAAAAATCCTAGGTCTAAAAACAAAAACGAACTCTTAATTTTTACTTTCCCTGCCCCCCCGCCCCACCCCAAGCATGCAAGTGAGCCCAGGCATTAAACTGCCACGCAGGCATCAAATTGCTACATGTATTTTAAATAGTGTAGGGAACATAAGGAACTATGTTGAAAGGAAAACATTTCATCATGGTTAAAGGCTTGATAACAACATACTTTTCCCCTGACATGTCAGAAGTCTCTGTAACTAGACCATAATTATGTTCAGGCTTAATATTGGTGGTTTTTACCTGTTGGCTGGACCACTTTATAATGAGAAGTGAGAGGAGGAAACTATCCAGGTAATTGTTATGTTTAAGACTTGAAAAATAATCGCCAATTATTACAAGGTACAACTCAACCCTTTTGTTACCCATCCAGTTCCTACTGAGAGCCAACTGAGGCATAAGCCACCTAGCCACCATCATTCCCATTACTACATCATTATCTACAGAAGGCACAAAATAAGCTGATTAAATAATAGTAGTTTCCCTCCTCTTTGCTATGGTTTTCTAGTTTTTGCTGATCAGTAAAGGTAAGGAATTGAGCACAAAATTCAAGTTATTTAATTCTTATTTCTGCAAGTTGTCAAACAGGTTTACTTTTTTACCCCAATATGTTTCTCAAGGAAGGTCCACAGGATATTTTCCCTTACAACATAAATCTAAAATGTCTCTGTTTTGGGGCACCTGGGGGGCTCAGTCATTAAACATCTATCTTCGGCTCAGGTCATGATCCCAGGGTCCTGGAATCAAGCCCCACGTTGGGCTCCCTGCTCAGCAGGGAGCCTGCTTCTCCCTCTCCCTCTGCCCGCCGCTCCCCCTGCTTGTACTCTCTCTCTGTCAAATAAATAAATATTTTTAAAAAATTTATCTCCTTTATTGGTATGCAAAGTGGCATACTTTCATTTACAATTAACAAACCCTCTTTCTGCTAATCATAAAGTTACTTGTATAAGGCAGAAATCAATTTCTTTCAGTTTTAAAATTCTTGGTTACATGAGAGTTTCCATATCAATTCATGAAAAACAATGAAATAAAAATGATTACATCAATACACATTTAACCTCTAGAATTTTGGAGAAGGATAAATATTAAAGAATGGACTTCTAGGTTCTTACCTTTGGTGGCTTAAATGGATAATCAGATGAAAAAGTGATATCCAGAAAAAACACACCACCTTCATATACAGAACCTGGTGGACCAAGTATAGTCGATCTCCATTCATAAATGTTATCTCCTTTAGGCCCAGCACTATTTAAAAGAAATTAAAAATCAATGTGTGTATCTGTAAGCAACGAATGTTAACATCTTAAACCAATTAAGTATTAAGGGTAAATTAGCAACCTAGAGCAATGAGATAAATATAAAAGAAGCCCCAATGTGTGCATACATGTATAAAATTATTTGCAAATATTTCAAATTTACAGAAAAACTCCAAGAACAAAGAACACCAGTATAATCTTACCCAGACTCTCCCTGTTAGCATTTTGACCCATTAACTTTTTCATCTTCTCCTTCCCTCCCCTGCTTTCTCTCTCTGTGTGTGTATACACACACACACACACCGACACCCACAGTGCTTTTTTCTGAGCCATGTTAAATTAACCTCCAATATAATCAAAATACAGCTACAATTTCAGTGAATATATCAATAAAACACTTTAACCTATAATCTGCAAAATAATGTTAACTGACGCAGTAATGCCTTTTTAAAATTTTAATTTTCATCCAAATGCAGAATCTACTCTTGTGATCATCTATGTTCCATGTCTTCTGTTTCCTTTAATGTGGAATCTTTCCGCCTTTGACTTTTATAACGAATTTCTGAACAATACAGTTATCTTCTTCCCCATCATCTCCTTCTTTTAATAGAATGCTCATCTTTTTGGAGTTATGTTTCCTCATTAGATGCAGACAGTGCATTCCTGGCCAAAATAGTACATAAGTGATGTGTTCTCAGGGTACCAAGATATTCATTCACCTATACCTAATTGGTAATATTAATTTTCATCACTAAAAACTGTCTGATTTTCCTACTGCTTACTTATTATCTTTTCCCTGCAACCAATAAATAACCTTTGGATATACACCTTAAGACCATACAAATATTCTGCTCTTCACCAAATTTCACCCCTAGATTTAACATCCAATTGTGATTCTTGGCTGAACTAATAAACTATACTGTGATGGTGATAAAATCATGATTTTCCAACTTCAGCATTTCCTCCACATTTACCAGCTAGCCCTTGATCCCTCTCTTTTCCCGTTTGTATGAATTTGTGTATTATTTAACTAGATGTCCCAGGATTCCAGCTTTGCAATCAGCCACTTCCTCAAGCTCTGGTTCCTTTTAATCTCACATTTAGGGAATGTTAGAAACCAAAGTCTGAATGCTAGGTGCTATTAAGTCCCAGGTACATTGCGCTGTGCTCAACAATACATATTTCATTTATAAAATCTGAAACGAGAGATAATTCAAATATAATCTAGCTGCACATCCAATACTCCTTAAATTCCCTTCCAATTTACCTACAGACTTCCATTTTTCCCTAACCTTTGCCATCATAAATTATCTTGACTTTCTGAACTAATGTATAATACATATACAGCATTTCTTCTTTAAAAGTGACCACTAGTTTAGAAATGATCTGAATGTTTGATTTAAAATAAGGGTAAACCAGCATTGATAAATCACCCATATTAATCACAACAGGACTTTCAAGTATAGTTAAAATAATTAAACTGTATCTTACTAATTCTGTAAAACAAACTGTGAACTGTAAACATCAGGTAAGTGATGCTATCAATAATCAAATGTGTGCTCTGAAAAAAATAGTTCATACAGAAAGGGTGTAGAAAACTTGATGGTATAATCAAAATGTTTGCAGGATGTTTTAAATACCTATCTTTAAGGCAGGTACATGAACAATAAGATTTCACATTTTGGCCTATTTAGGGAAAAACATTTTTTAAAATAAATACTGTTTTATATGTTTCAAGTATACACAGCAACTGCAGCTAATTACAATAATGGCTCACTGTTCTGTCATCATTTGAGAATCAGGTATATTCCCTAAGTGAATTTTTATTCTAACTAAAAACATAAAATTGAGTACTAATTTTGTAAACAAAAAAGGTTTAACCTGATTCAAGAGCATTTACTCTTCCAAGTTAATTTTTCCCTTGTGACTTAAGGTAATCATTATACAATTAAATTATAATGTCAAAGACTTCTATGGTTTTACTAAAATGTTTCTAAACTATACACGTCACACAGTGGTGGTAGTAATAATAATAACAATGTTAGTTAAGGTTTATTCCATCCTCATTACAAGTCAGGCATTGTTCAAAGCATCACAGTGCATAACTCATTTAATTCTCCTTACAAATCTATGAAGTAGGTACTATTAGTACATTCCTATTTTTAGATGAGGAAACAAAGGTTCAGAGAGTTAAATAACTTTCCATATGTCCCACAGCCACAAAATGACTCAGACAGAACTTGGACAAAGTCTGTGAAACTAGTCTGTATTGTCCTCAATGGTTTGCTATATTTCCTCTTATTAATTTCAGTGCTGCTACATCTAATTTAATCTCCAAATTCTGCTAATCCTTATTTGTATAAGAACCCAAGGGGCGCTGTTATCCAAACAAAACAAAAACCCAAAAACAACTTCCTCAGTGATATTTTTTAATTCTTAGCAGAACTATGCTATCCTTCAGAAGTTGGAGATTATTATATTTTAATGAATTTTAATGAATCACAGAATTTCAGACTGAAAAGAATCTGGGTGAAGCCATCCCCCCACCACGCCCCCGGCCTTTACCTTGAAAAAACCAAGGCACAGAAAGTAAATGATGCGTCTTAAAACCCTCTGCCAGGTGGCAGAAGAACAGGGATTCCTACACCAAATTCGTACTGGTTCTTAAGTTTGCTTTTTTCTCACTTATGTTGTTTTGCCACAGGACAAAGGATATGTTTATTATAGCAGAATATTAAATGTGGCTTTCCTTGTTGTCTTAGGGGAGACTGAGCAAGGCTGAAGCTTATGGTAGTATGATTCCTTTACTGTTCCAAGAATACTGAGCCTAAGGTGAGTGAGGGCTAAAATCCAGCCCTTGTTTTGGCAGCCTTGTTTGGAATAAGGAGCCCTTTTCCTTCTCACAAAGGTGCCATGTGCAAATCAAGACATTCTTGGTGGTGGGGGTGGAGGGTGAGATGCTGGATGCAAGAGGTGACTCCATTCAAATTCAAGCAAAGCATTTTCCAGGCTAGCGTCTGACCTGCCACTGAGGCTTCACAGCTGAGTAGAAAATGAGGGATAAATACTAACAATCTCAAGACAGGTGCTATTCATACCTCTTCACTAGTTCGCATTCTCTTTCTCTTACCCAAGCAGTTGCACGTGCCATCCTAGATCATTTGTTATTCCCTCTCTGGTGAATCATGTTCAAAGAATATCACAGTATCATTTCCCCAATCTTTATTAAAAAACAAACCTCTATTACTCTCCCCCTTCCAGGTCCCATCTCAGTGGTCTCTTAGCAGGCTTTTACTCCTCATCACTACACTGAAACAGCATTCATCAACGGTCACCAATGACCTCACCAGTAGACCCAATGCTTATTTCTCAATCTTCATCTTTTTTGACCGGCCCAGCAACATCGGACACAGTTGATCACTTCTTCCTCCTTGATAGAACTCCTCTGTTTTGTTCATAGAGTAACATACTTACTGGTTTTCCTCCTAACTTTTCTGGTCCTTCCTTCTCAACTGCTAAGTGCTGTTCCTTATCTCCCTAACTTATCAATACAGCCAGTCCTTCAGAACTCAGTGCTTGGACCTCTTCCCTGTTCTACTCACATCCACTCTTTTGCTGACCTCATGCGGTTTTACAGCTTCCAAGAGCACCAGTAGGCTCTTAATTCCCAAATCTCTATCTCCAGCCCAGATTTTTTATCTTGAGCTCCAGAACTATACATCTAAATGCTTACTAAACAGTCTTTATTTTGAAATCTAATATTTTGAGCCTAATAATTTTGAAAAGTGCCTCATATTTAACATGTCCCAAAGTAAGTTCCTGAACTCCTACAATCTTCCCTATTTCAGTTATGCCAACTCCATCCTTCTAGTTCATCAGGGCAAAAACAAAGACCTCATTTTTGACAACACTCTATCCCACATCCAGTACCTCGACAAATTCTGTTGATTTTATCTCCAAAACAAACTCAAAATTCTACCACTTCTCCCTACTCCTACCATCTTGACCTTGGTTCAAGACACCAGAATCCTCTCCTGGTTAGTTACAATAGCCTCTCTGCTTCCACCTTTGGCTCTACTCCCACCATGGTAGTCTACTTGCAAATGAAATTAGGCAAAGTGATAGTCAGAAAGTAAGTCAGTTCATGTAAGCCTGGTCAAAACTGTCCAAGGGCTTACCTTCCTATTCTGTGTTCAAGCCAAAGCCTTAGGAGACCTCAATGCACTGTATAATTTGCTGCCACCACCACTACCATCATCCTTACTTGTTCCTCTTTCTTGTTCAACTGGCCATAGCAACCTGTTTCTCCAGCACACAGTGTACACTTCACCTCTGGGCTTCTGCACAGATGTAGCTCTGCCTGGAATGTTTTTCTTCACGACGGCAACGTGGTTCGGGTTCATCACCTTCTGCAGGTCTTGACTAAAAAGTCACCTTTTCAGTAAGGCCTTTCCTGGCCACTCTATCTAAAAATGTCACACATGATCTCCACACATTTTATGTATTCCTTTCTATTTTTTTCTCCATGTTATTTTTTACTCTCTAATATATTATATAGTGTACCTATTTATCTTATCGTCAGTCTGTCTCACTAGAATGTAAGCTCCAAGAGGTTGTAAGATACAGACTGGGCTCTTTAACCTACAATGGATTGTGCTTTTTATGCCCTGAAAGTGAGAACTATTTTAATAACTCAAAGCGACTGAAGAGCTGCGGGACCTGCCCAAGGTGAGAAGAAAGGGAGATCTCACAGAGCCAGTTTAATAGCAGGGGAAAGGAAAGGGACAGAAGGGGATGGAAGGGGAAGGGAACGTTTTCTTATATTACCTTCATAAAGGGTTCATTTACTTAATTTACTTCACCAATACAGCAAAAGTAAAATTTATTCCAGTTCTGAGTCAAGTTATGAAAAAGCAGAGACAAAATTAACAGCAGCTTTATTTACTGAAACCTCAATACGCACAAATGCAAAAAAAAAAAAAAAAAATC